CACTGGACCTGCTAGGGTTCAATAGCGCCATTGCAGCCGCCACTGCAGCAGTAACAGCTACCTGAAATAGGACAGGATCGAATGGAGAAGGAGGTGGTGGCGGAGGGTTGTTGTTCCTAGAATTGGGTCCTTTATTTGGAGGCATGATGATCTAAAATAATTAGGAAAAAGAGGATGGTAAGTCCTCTGAATTGAATAATGAGATATGAAACCAGAGATATCTCATTATGACAGATTAAATGTTCCACTAAGCGATAATACAGGAAAGGGTTATCAAAGAAGATAAACTATCGCTAAGGAAGGAATGAGTAGCAACACTTGGAATGAATTTCTACAATGTAATCGACTTTGGTTAAAATACTCCTATAGTATTTTATGTTTCGTTGCGACGATGATTCATTGTTTGGATATTAGGTAAGTTTTAGGCATGCTACATACCACAGTCACTCCCAAGCACATGTCGACCGTGTCTCGAATGAATATAGTTGATCATGCTATATTGACCCTAGACACGACTACATAACTGCCCAAGTTTAACCGCAGCATACAACACCCAATTACTTATGTTTTGTTCTACTCGTAGTTACGGATTCTGGTGACTAGGTATACTTGTATATTCTTGAAAAATACTTATATTTTAAAGTATACTTTTATTTTAGAGGACTTCGGCCCCTTAGTGTTTATAGTCTTATACCATGTAAGGTTTGGTATACTAGTTCACTATAACCAAGGGCTCTGATACCAATCTGTCACACCCCGAAACCGATGGTGGAAACGTTCCGGGGCGGAGGACGTCATGCAAAGTATCACAACCAATGTACATAGTAATCATAGTAAACGCAAAACATTACATTACATAGAATTATTACATTTGTTTGAAAGTAGAAAAGCAAAGTAATACATGTTTTATAGATACATAAGTTTAAATAAACGTAAAGATGTGAATTCCATCTGCTTCGTCTTCTGCAAAAAGGACGCGAGATACCTGTCTAAGGAGAACCTGAGAATACAAGCAGTTTAAAAATCAACAGAAAGCTGGTGAGTTCATAAGCGGTTTGTTTCTGAAAATGAACAAGTTTCCTTTAGTTTTCTGAGAACTTGTTATCGAAGAAAATCCCATATTTTATTATATGTAAAGTTTGTTTATCCATTTGTTACACAATTTGGTTGAAAACAGTTTGTTATCTGGTTACTACATGATCTAGTTAAAAACGAGTTATGTTATCCCAGGAAAAACCCTTATTTTCCTTAAAGGTTTGTGGATGGTTACCGGTTCTGAATGTAATGTACAAGTATCTACCATACTTAAAGTGTTTGTGTGAAGTTTCCTGAAAGCCTGGTTATCCTTGAAATGTATGTTAGTTTTAACACATATATAAAACTATTATGTGGGAAGTAAACTAATTCTTAAAGTTATTAGCCTACTAATTTCATTATTACCAATATGTAAATCTCTGTTATCTAAATTGCGAGTTCCATAACCATACGCTAGACTAAATATGGCAATAAGTAGTCCATCATCATTTTATGACTTTCGTCACCCTTGAACCTTTCAGTTCGACTGTAGCTAGCAGCTAGGTGCGGGGTTGTCAATCCCGTATAGATCTATACACTCAAGTCATGCTCTCCTTCCAAGAGATTCTAGGTACGGGGTCGGTCCTCCACTCACGTATCTCTGTGGAGTGTTTCTGAGGATGTGTCTCCAATTATTAAGATTAACAAATTTACAAGTAATAATGCGAAAAATCCTGTTTGTGATTCTGGTTACAAAGGGGGTCCTCCACTCGCGTATCTCTGTGGAGTGTTACCGAGGACGTGTTCTAATGTTCTAGGTTAATGATTTTAACATAAATGAAGTGGAAAATCATTGGTAAACTATACTGTATAACACTATATAATAAGGTTTGCAGTTAGTTTGAAAACTAACTCTGCAAGTCAAACAGTTAGTTAATACGATTTCCAGTGTTAAAAGTATACGAAATATGAAACATATCAAGTGAAATAATAAGTTTAAGTACAAGATATTATTGTACTTTTGCTTGTATTCCCCCCTGAAAACATTGAAAAACCACGGAAAAAGGTGTAGGGGTATGAACTCACCGGTCAGGAAAGGTGTCGGCTAGGATGCCAAATGACAGTTCATGGCTTGAACGCGTGCGAGGTTCCTATGTAATATGAAAAGATACATAATTGTAGCTAATTAGGCTTTGAACTACTAATTAATTGAGAATATACACTCCGAGACGTGAAAACACTTCATTCCAAGTGTTAGGAGTGACCCGGGTAGCATCTAAGGGTGTGTATGGTTTGAATATGGAGTTTGCTCTTCAAGAGTAAACTCCTAATGGAGTTTTCGGCCCAATGACCAACTCCCCATGAGTTTACGGCCGTAAATTCATGGTGGGGGTGTTCTTGGGTGTTAAATGGTCTTACAACTCTTGTGGGGTAATGCTAGGCTATGTTTTAAGGCATTGGAATGGAATTTGAACAACATAAGGATCATTTGAGGAGTTTATGATAGTAAACTAGGAGTTTACGGCCATAAACTCTTATGTACCCAATCTTAATGTGTTTTGGTGGTCATAGGTCAATTACAAGAGTTTCTAGTCCAAAGTACAAGCCATGGAAGGAAGTTAGGGCACCAATTGACCACCTATAGGAGTTTACGGCCCAAGAAACATTCCTTGGGGGGTTTATGGCCGTGAACTCCTAAGGAGATGGTTTCTTGCATGTTTAAGGTCCCTAACACATTATTGGATGGTTCTAAACTTTATTCGAAGGCTTAGGAGGTGTTTAAGGGGCATTTTAACACCTTAAAAGGGGTTTACGAACTATGAAAGGGTGTTTACGGTCCAAGCATGTTCTTGGGCCGTAAACTCATGTTTACCCCTCAAATGATAAGTTTTTGGTGTTCTAAGTCCAGTATTGTAAGCCCCTAAGTCATATCTAAGCTCCAAAAGTGGTTTGGAAGGGTTTTGAGGCTCAAAAACCCCATCTATGTGTGTTTGCGGCCCAAGGGTGTTCCAGGGCTATAAACACATGTTTTTGTTCCTATTTCATGAATTAAACACGAATTTGAAAGCTAAATGTGTTATACTATGAGCTAGGAAGGATTACATACCAATTTGGGGCTTGAAATGGGCGATTTTGGATCAAGACTTGAATTTTTAGAGAGAGAGAGTAGAGAGAGAGAGAGAGTGGAAAAGCTTCAAATGAAGCCCACTCAACCTTATATATGTTTCGGGTTTGAGGCTCGGTGGAATTCTACCCGATACTGACGTTAAATGGGGCTTTTGGTCGTACCCGATTAAGTTGTCGTAACCCGACGCGGTCGAAACTAAAAGTTTTCCAATTAATAATATGGGGTGTTTTTATGTGTTTCTAATGGGTTTGGACACTCACGAGGTCATTATAAAAGTCTTAAATTAAATGAGCTAATCCAAAATGTTAACGGAAAAATGAAAGATAGACGGGTTTTGCTGACAGGAACGAGTTATCGTGATGGAAGAATTTTCGGGTTGTCACAGTATTTTTCCCAAATCAGGATTTATCTTGGTATTTGGAATTGCTAAGTTGGAGTATTTACCTTAATTTCTAATGAAGGTTTGGTTTGTAGATTTGTTAGTGGGAGAGACTTTAGCACCAACGGCTCGTGTGTGAGATTTATCCGTTACCGATCGAGGTGCGTCTCCTCACTATACTTATGGGTCGAAGGAACCAATGCTGGCCCACTGGATTATGTTATGCAGGAAGACCAGGCAGTGGTGCCAGGAAATTATATGAAATACTTGGATATGGCTCCCTACAAATTGTATGCCATACTAGGGTCTAGATCCTATAAGTTATATGTAGGATGCTAGTTGTGTTTGTGATGCTTGCATGGAGACCAGGATGTGGCTCTTGGAACTTGTTTGTAAGAACCGGGTTTTGGCCCTTGGCTTGGCAAGGAAAGACCATGATACGGCTCATGGCATGACAATAATTGTAAGACTATGGTTGACACATAACATTGTCTATTCTATATATGATATATGGTATTTTGGGAAACTCACTAAGCTTTGTGCTTAATATTTTTATGTTTATGGTTTAAGGTACTTCCAGTTCCAAAGAGAAAAGCTCGACATGATTGCATAGCATCCCCCAGTGTTTTCTGCATTGACTATTTGTGATTTTTACTATGATGTTTAATTGATATATTCTTTTTGATTGGTTTTGGAACAAATCGTTTGTATGGTTTAATGTTTTTAAAATGAAAATTTTACTATGAATTTTTGGGGCGTTATAAAGATAAGTAGTCAATATACACTTATGTAACCAATTAATAATTCCATTACACTGCTAACGAAATAAACCATAGGAGAGAGGTGAATAGAATCTAAACATAAGTACTCTTTAAATCACGTTTGAAATCGTTTATCTGTTCAATTTTCTTAGTTAGAAGTGATCATTTGCTATTTAGTTATTTCAAAGTTGATGTTAGAAGTTTTTGAACTTTAAAATTTGAAACCCCCTCAATATTATTGTTTAGTTTAATTAGTATCAGATATTTTAATATAGAAGCATACCCATTCCCCTTGTGTTTGACAACCCGTTCTTACGATCCCTATACTGTCAAACGAATAAGTACACTTGCCTAGCTGAGTAGCATTGTCTAGTAGTGATTAAGTACATTTTATAGATTTACAACTAGTAGTAGTAACACACACATAATTGAGATAAGTGGGAGAGAAGGGTATTTCAAGTTGAAATCCTACCACTCATTGATTTGTGAATTACATCGGAATTAAATTCCTTAATAATTTAATAGAGGAACTTGACCTTGTATTAATATCAAATCCAACAAAAATTTCAAATTAGATACTTTAGAAAACCCATGATACAAATATCATACAGATATAAAACACAAATAGTAGTATAGATAAGCACAGTAGTAGAAACATAAAGTAATTAAAATCATTACTTACAGTATATACTCAAGAATTACTTGCACTGCAGATTATCTATAAGGCTTCTCCTCCTCTCTTCATCTTGACAACTCTTACCACCATTGCAATGTATATATTGTTTATGGTTTCCTCAGCAAACATGAAAAGCTTTTGTCTCCACTGCTTCTTGAACAACAAAACTCCAATAACACCCCAAAACCCTGTTGCAAAACCACAAATTATGTCCACGTAAAACCATAACTTTGCAGGCTCAACAGGCGCTTCATATTTCTTCTTGTACGTTGTTGGATCTTCATGACCTGAGCAGTTCTTTGGCAATGGTGCTCCACATAGATCTTTGTTCCCAAGATATATTGATGGATCATCAAGGGTCTGCAACTGATTTCCTTTTGGAATTTGTCCAAACAAGTTGTTGTGTGACAAATTCAAGCGGCTCAAAAAGTTTAAAGCTGCCATGCTTGGAGGGATTATCCCGGTCAACTCATTTATTGAGAAGTCGAGAGATTCCAATGATGTCATGTTTCCAATGTTGTGTGGGATAAACCCAGTTAGATGGTTATTAGACAAATTGAGACCCATCAACATAGAAAGAGCAGTTAGCTCGACTGGTATACCTCCAACAAGTTGATTGCTTGAAAGATCCATATTGAAAACTATTTTCCAACTTGTTGTGTATACACGATCAACACCTTTCATGACTTGATTCACATATTCCTTTTCAAGATCGTCACTACCACCACTCTTGCCACCAGTATCTGATACCATGGCATGCAACCTTCCTAGACACCGGGGGATGGTTCCGGTTAAGTTGTTGTATGCAACATCCAAAATTTGAAGTTCTGAAATGTTACACACAGATCGAGGAATTCTACCCATGAAGTTATTCCCACGCAACCTTAAAACCATCAAATCTTGAAGTTTTTCTCCAATCCATTCTGGTATATGTCCAAAGAATTCGTTATCACCCAAATCTAAGATAGTTAAACCTTGTATATCCCCTAATTCTCGTGGAAGTTTACCACTAAACTTATTGTCATTCAATTTTAACCCAAGCAATAATGAAGAAAAAAGAGCTATAGATCTAGGAATGTTACCAGACAGCTTGTTTGAGCTAAATCTAATGCCCTCCAAGTTTTGCAGGTTCTTCAGACAATTGGGAATTTTTCCAGTTAACCTATTTTTAGAAAGATCAAGAATGATCAAATCTATCCTTCTGCACAATGACGTTGGAATCGACCCATTGAAAAGGTTATCTTGCAGAAATAATCCCGCATAAAATGGATATCTAGACACATGAATTTTCCCCCCATTAGGAAGGTTTCTCAATGGACCAATGAGTTTATTCTGAGAGAGATCTAAGAACTTGATGTGCATCTTGCGCAACCATGTGGGCAGAGGTCCCGAAATTGTTGCATTGGACAAAGTCAACTTAATAAGCGTCGTTTGACTCTCAAGCCACTGTGGGAATTCGCTTCCTATCTTGCAAGAACTGAAACTAACCAACTGGAATGGAGGTATCCACCCATGTGAAACGTTGAAAGTTAATCCAGTGTTAGAAGATGTATCCAAGTGCTTCAACATCGAAAGGTTAGCAAAATGGGCTTCAGAAACTACTCCCTCTAAAAAATTGTTAGAGATATCTACAGAATGGAGTTTTGGAAGTTGTGAAATTGACACCGGAATTGTCCCATTTAATCTATTTGAAGTCAGCGAAATGGATTGTAATGAAACAAGTCTTCCTAGAGATTCTGGAATTGGACCGGTTAACTGGTTATGAGATAGATCTAACACTTGTAAAAATCTTAGCCTTGTTACAGATTCCGGGATTGGACCTATCAATCCGCAGTTGGGTAGATGTAATTCTCTTAAATTGGCCAATCCACCAAGTGATTCTGGAATTGTACCTGTTAACGGGTTATCAGATAGATCTAATACTTCTAAAAATCTTAACCCTGTTATAGATTCGGTGATTGGACCTGTCAATCTGCAGTTTGATAGATCTAATTCTCTTAAATTTGCCAATCTACCAAGTGATTCCAGAATTATATCATACAAACTAGAACATAACTTCAGCCTCTCCAAAGAATATCTGGAGCATTCTGATGCATTTTTTAGAGACTCAATCGTTTCTAATTCAAAAGGATTGTATGACACACTCATTTTTTTGAGTTGACACATTCTCAAGATTCCAGTATGCTCAATCTGCTTGAACGTGTTCTGAGTAAGATCAAGCTCTATGAGGTTAGGCATAATAGGTACCGATGAATTCAACATGTTTTCGGAAAGGTCAAGGACTTTTAGGGAACTCATGTTTGTTAAAAGAGATGGAAATTTGCCTTCAATCAGATTATTTGTAAGATCCAGATGCTGGAGGTTAGAAAGTGTAGTGTAATTGAGACGAGGGGAAGATAGATGTGTATTTTGAAGCCCACAATTTGTCAAATGCATCTCTGAGATAGAAGGGATCATTTTTAGCAAGTCTGCAAAGCTGCATGACAAACTAAGATTAAAGCCTGAAAGATCCAGGCATTCAAGGGATGTCATGTTTTGCAAAAGGCGAGGGAGTGGTCCATTGAAATTGGACCACCCAAGATCCAAGTGTTTGATTTTGGGAAGTATTTTACTCGAATTATGAGAATGACGAAGATCAGAAAAGTAAAGGTCACATTCATGCAAATTTAACTCTTCTAGGGAAGGAATCATGTAAAACACCATATGCACATGCTTTGCACTATAAAGATTGATGAAACTCAAGTCGAGATGCTTGAGTGATGAAAGGCCAAAAATCCATGCCATATCATCTACCATCAGCTCTCGGTTTGAACTCAGATCAAGAACTTCTAAATTAGAAAGATTTCCAATGTGGGGAGGAATAATACCTTGTAAACCAGCATCCGAGAGATTGAGATAGGTAAGTTGTTTCAAGGATCCAATGAACTCAGGGATCTTACTTCCTTTAAAATCATTCCAACTCATATCCAAGTACTTTAAATGACTCAAATTTGCCAAAGAAGAACTCACCTCATTTCCAACTAAGTATAGCGTTTGAGGAAGAAATACATCATCCCAATCTCCTCTGAGATGAAGGCTTTCCACATTTCCAGTGACAGCATCACACTGGATTCTTCCCCACCTGCAACAGTCATTGCCAATCCATGATGACAACATTCCAAAGTCATCTTGGACGCTCTCTTTGAACTTCAGAAGAGCAAATCGCTCTTGCTCAGGGCAAATTACACTCGTATTATTAAAACCCAAACACGTATAAGTGGTTGCACACAAAAAAATACTTATGAAAATGAGATGGAGCCCGAATCCCCATTGATTCCCCATTATCAACCGGAATTCAGTTTAGTTTAGAAAAAAAGAAGGAAGTGAAAAGATGGGTTGTTATGATGATGAAGTGATGGGTTCTGATGAGAAAGAAAGCAGTTGATTTTATAAAACCAGAAATGAAGATAAGCTATTAATATCATGGAAGACTTTGAAGTAAACTCAAAGGTCGTGGAAGACTTTGGAAATTGAAATAAATGCACAATTTTGTATCGACATATTATTTTTCTCTTTGGATGGGATGCTGCATGATATTGTCTCACTGATTGATCATTTGGTTGACAAAAGTATATGAAGAGTTATTACAAAAAACCCTAATTTAATCGATTTCAAAGAAATTTATTGTTATTGTGCGACCTGGTCCAGGTTTTATTTATTCAACATAATTGAATTAATGTGGAACGATTAATTTTAGTAGGACCAGACAAGGCCTACCAAAAATGACCTCGAGTAGTAGCCACATCCATCAACGAATTTTCCAAGGAGTGAAGGGGAAAAATATAGAATGTTAAATAATCATTCTGAAAAATATGTTTTATAATAAATTTTAATGATTATGATTAATATTAAATCTTTTTTAAAGCTACAACATTTGTTAAAATACAAAACAAGTGAAGCAGGAAGCTGAAAAATATACAATGTTACAATTGATTAGAGTAGCAACACCTCAATTGAGCTTCTTTTAATTAGGCCTATGAAATTGAGAAAAGCTATCAATTAAAAGTAAATTGTTATAGCTGTAACCATCCACTTTAACCGCTGCAATCAAACCCTTAACTATATGCATTTGCAGATGAGAAATTGTATAACCTCCTACTTTTATTCCTACTTATCTTTCTAAATCATGTAAAATAATAAAAAGTGTCTTAAAATGTTATTAATTTTATTAAAATGTGACACTTTCCACCATTTCACATAACACCACAGAAAGAACACTACACCAAACTCACACGCACGAGAAGAAATATCACCAAAGCTCACATCACGAAAACCCACGAAGAGGAATCCTACACAACAACACATGACAGTTTCTAAAAATGTTATTGGTACCATATAATTTACTTGGGTCAATATATAAGAATCTTGTTGAATTATGGAACATCTTTATCTTCAAACTTCTCATTGTTGTTGCCCGGATTATATATCCTTTGGTTATTTATTTATTTATTAATTTTAGACGTATTTGTTTTTTGTTGTATTTGTTTTGTTATAGTTTGTTTCAGGAAGGACTATTCTTGTCCAGGTGAGAAAGATGTGAACTGCGGCTCACTTCTCTCAAACTTATTATGCACGCAGGTTGGACCTGGATCCGGATTATGGTCTGGTGTAGATAATGTTTGTATGTGTGTGTGTGTTGTGTGCTCATAACACGCATTTTACTCGCACATACTCATGTCTCCATTCTCTAAAGAATATCATAGTTTTATCTTGAGTCTGAATATCTTGTGTTCTTAGTTTAGAATGAGAGTAGGATAGTTTGAGTGTTGTAGTTAGGATTTGTTGTAATCTTGAGTGATTGAGAGTTGCTGTGACTTTTGTGTTGTAAGTATCATTCAAACCAACTGATTCTTAGAATAAAAAAAATTGTTGATGTTGTCAATTTTCTGTGTGTTTGTAATGGTATTAGAGTGAGGTTCTTCTGGTATCCATTAAATATTCTAATCACCACAAGAAAACAGAGTATTATGGATGCCGCTTTTAGCAACGACAAAACATTTACACCCCGTTCCCGTGTTCAACTTAATGAGAAAAAAGATGGTGAAAGTGAGAAGAAATTAAAAGAATTTGGTGTTCCCGAGTTTCATTAAACGAGGGAAATCGGAAGAATCATTTTCCCTCCTAACTTTCCTTCCGGTTTGGAATGATTTAGAGAGAAAGAACTAAATCTTAAATTTTGCTTCTACTTTTCTCCAACTCGGGAACACAAAAGAGAAATTTATATTCATTTCATTTCTCTTCTTTGCTCTCTTTACTTTCTTTTCTCTTCTTTTATTTTTCTCTGTTTCAACTCAGGAACTAGGCGTTAGCAACGACACCAAACAAGCCACGCTTGGTGTCGCCGCTAAAAGACAATGTCGTCGCTAAAGGTATGGCCGGAGATCCGTCGGAGACGCGCCAATTTCAATCTTAGCCATTGGTTTGAAACATGATCCAACAGATAGGGTTCGTTCCTGTGGAAGCCTTTTTCTTTAGCAGTACAGGCCGGCTGGTCGGGGTTGTTTCCCCCCCGCTACCACAAAGATCACTGCCCAGCCACCGCTCGAGGGTACCTCCGCTCCCCAACCGAGCAAAATGGATAAAATTCGCGGGAAAGCAATAGCGACGACAATTTTAGCGGTGAAATGTCGTCGCTATTGGTGTCCATCCGTGTGACCCATATTGAACGAAATCTTGGTCATACGATTCTTACACAATCCAACGGTCACTAATCTCCATAAAAGGTGCATTTTGTCGCCGCTAATACCCTCTAGGGTGCCGCTAAAGGGTTACCCCTTTTGTTCAACTTCCTCGTACCAGACGATGGTTCTCTTCGGCGACGATTTGTGACATCACTGTAACTTCCACTGACGCCACTGCTCTCCACCCTACTCAGATCGTCGACTGCCACCACCGATTAACCTCCCTCGCCGACTGCCACCGCCGTTGCCGATTGCCACCTCCGCTTGCCGACTGTCACCTTCGGTTATGACCTGCTACCACCAGCCGCATTCATTTTCTGTGCCCATTTCTCTTTCTCTTCTTTTCTGACCATCGGTTACGGGCACAATCATAATTGTTTTTTAATTTTTTTTAATTTTTTTTTTTCTGTTTTTAAGGTTCCGGGAAGGACACCTCATCACTACCGATTGCAACTATGTTTTTCCGGCTAGCACTTAGTTTTCTTTTTCACTTCTGAATGTGTGTTGTATGTATGTTGATATGTTAATGATTGTATGTATTGTTGAATCTATATGTAAAATTGATGTATATATGTGAAACTATTGAATGTAGACGAAAACATAAACTCTGTAGTTCCCTGGTAGAAATCAAAATCAATATCTCCTTCTACTTCTAGCCACGATATTTGTTTAAGGTATGAAATTGTATGAAACCTTCAATAAAGCAACAATAAGGAAGGCTTATGTGAAACTGTTGAATGTATATGTAAAAATATGTGTATTGTTTAATGTATATGTAAAATTTATCCTAAACAACCCGTTGTTGATCCCATAAAAGTCCACTATGAATCTATGATGTGCCTTATGTTGGTTAAACATTTTTGATATGTTTACCAGGTTTAGTATGCTAAACAAATAAAATAAAATCAATAATTAATGGTAAAGTTGTATTTAAAAGAAAACAAAATTGGTTATACTTTTTTTTTCCTTCTAAAAATGGCATAATAAAATGAATATTGTCAAATATTTCTAAAAATATTATAGTTATTATTCATTAATACAACCATAATAAAATAATTTTATTATTAATAAATTAGTTATTGAACTATTAATTTATAATGATATTAGTTACCCAAAATACATTAAGCGTACGTAATTACATATAGTTTCATGAACCATCTTAATATAAAATCACTAATCTATCAATTATATATGAAATTTGAACTCAAAAAAGTAAAAACAAATAAACAATCTTATTTTAAAAACAAAAATACTTAAATAAAAAAATTAGATTAAATGAATTGAATGCATCGAAAATCACTTTAAGTGTTTTTCTAAAAATGACATAATAAAATGAATATTATCAAATATTTTCAAGAATATGATAGTTATCATTCAATAATACAATCATAATAAACTAATTATATTATTTATAGATTAGTTATTGAAATATTAATTTATAATGATATTACATACCCAAATATATTAAGCGTATGTATTTACATATAGTTTCATGAATCCCCTTATATAAAATCACTAATCTACCTATTATATATGAAAATTTTAACTAAAAAAAGTAAAGACAAATAAACAATATGATTATGAAAACAAAAAAGAAACTTAATTAAAAAATTTGATTAAATGAATTTAACGCATCGAAAATCACTTTAAGTGGATTGACAGAGTTTGAGACCTTGCAATCTAATCAAATATATTATTATTTTACTATTACAAATTTTATGATTATTATAATCCGACAATTAGTTAACTAAAAAAAATAGTCAACATTACAGCATATAACAATCCAAGCCGTTACTTAATCCATCATATCTATTAACTTTATCACTTCAATATATATATTTACAAAAAAAAAGAAAAAGAAAACAAAAAAAATACAAATACAATATCCAGATTATAATTAAACAAAAAACACATCAAACAACTTCTTTTTTATATGTTAAAAAAATCAATGATAAAAAGTGAAATATGTAAACCATTGTTTGAAGTTCAACAATAATACTTACATAATTTATAGCAATAATCCACAACTAATCCATTTGTTGTCAATTTTTTGTTGTTTTGAATGTTGATTTGGAATAGGAAAAAAAAGATGATATAATATATATATATATACTACAATTGTTTAAAGTAAAATGTTAATACAAAACAAAAACAAAAAACATATGAAGGTAAATCTACTAAGTTGTAATCTAATAACTTAATTATTTAAAGTACAATGTTATAATAATAAAGTTTAGTTTTTTTAGTTTAAGTATCTTCCTTTATTTTCCTTTTAAATCATCAAGAGCCTTGTAATACGTATCTGTATAAAATTGATTTAGAAAACAAAGGAGGAGGGCAGAGGGTCTCATTCCCGTGTTCTCATTCAGACTTAATTCCCTTTTTTCCAATTTCGGTCGCTCTCCACAAGTTCTTTTTCAACTTAAGTCCAATATTTACCAAACACCCCCTGACTTCTAAAAATCTTTACAAACCAATCCGAAAATTACACTTAACCCCAATATTCAAAAGTTATGACATTTAACTCTCAAAACCAATTTCTTTGCTGAATTATTATGGATTTAGGGCTTCAATAAAATATAATTTACATATCGGGGTTTAGGGTTAATTATTTACTTAAATATTTTATTTATTTAATATATATATATATATATATATATATATATATATATATATATATATATTTTACTTCAAACAGAATGTTACATATGGCTTTGGGTTAGGGTTTGGTATCAAAGAAAACAAAGGAGGAGGGCAGTGGTTCTCATTACTTTTCGTGTTCTCATTCAAACTTAATTCCCTTTTTTCCAATTTTAGTCGTTGTCCATAAAATCTTTTTCAACTTAAGTCCAATATTTACCAAACACCCCTGACTTCTAAAAATTTTTACAAACCAATCCATAAATTACACTTAACCCCCAATATTCAAAAGTTATGACATTTAACTCCCAAAGCCAATTTTTTACTAAATTATTATGGATTTAGGGCTTCGATAAAATATAATTTACATATCGGGGACCTATTTTATTTATTTATATGTATTTTTTTTTTTACTTCAAACGGAATGTTACATATGGCGTTAGTTGACTATTTGTAATTTTATACCTTGTTATATGCTTAGACACATCTTGTAAAGAGCCTGAAGAGGAACAATGCCAAGCAGTAAAACATGAATTGCGTTTGAAGGTATATTTATATATTCACTAAGTTCTCTAATGTAATAATGTATATAATATTTACTTCATTAAAAATCAAATGTGCTTAAAATGGCTTTATTTATTTTGATTTTTGTAGGTCAAAACGTGGTTCAGGTGAAAAAATTACTTTTATGTTGTTGTTTATTTGGTAAAATCATCAATTCTTAAATGTTTAGTATTATATTAAATTATTAATGCTTTGAAACTTTTACATTAAAATCATATTTTGTAATTGATATCCTTTTTGTATGCACAAAATGACGTGGAAAGCAACTCTCTGCAAATGGCTTTTATTGATTGTAGAGAAAAAGCTAAATGTGTAAGAAATTCTTATACGTAGTGTATATTTTTATAGCAAGTTTTGGTAGGTGGATATTGAATTGAATTGCAAATTGTAGAGAGAGATAGAGGAGGCTTTGAAGAAACAACTTGAGTTAGAAAGGGAAATTGAAGAGTTGAACGGGAAGTTATAGGTTATGAAGCATTTGGGGGATGAAGATGATGCTGTTGTTCACGAGAAAATCAAGGAGATGAACAATGAACTTCAAGCAAAATTGGAAGAAATGGAGAACATGGAGAATTTGACTCAACTAGGGACTTTGGGCATCCATTTTCCGACAAGGCAGGAACGGAAGCTTATCTAGGAGTGATTTATAATTACTTATTATTTAAGTTTAAAAAAGTTTCTATTAGATTTTTCTGAGTTTAGTGTTTCTTATTACATTTTCCGCATAGGAGTTGTTTAGAATTACCTATTATTTATATATGTTTAAAAATGTTTCTATTAGATTTTTCGGAGCTTTGTGTTTTTGTATTATATTTATGTGCATTTAATATAGAAGAATGTGGATTTTTATGTAATTATCTTATGAGAAATAAATTTATATTTAACAACGGCTTAGCAGCGGAAATCCGTCACAAAAATAGTCGTATATTCCGTTGGTAACCTGTTGAAACCTCGTTCTGTTGGTAATCTGTTACTATTTACCAACGGAAATGTCTGTTGCTAAAATTTGTTGTATCCGTTACAAAAAATTAGCAACAAGAATATACCAACGTATTTTGGTCTGTTACAATTCCGTCGGTAAAGCCCATTAGTGACGGATTACGGATAGTTTTTGCCATCGGTAATGCCCTTTTTTTATAGTAGTGGAAGGAAGCAGATTAGGAGAACAAACTCTTAATGTTTATATATATATATATATATATATATATATATATATATATATATATATATATATATATATATATATATATATATATATATATATATATATTACTAGTTGTAAGACCCATGTATTTACATGGGTTAAATTAAAAAAAATTAGATATAAAAGTCAAAATATTTGACAACTTTGAATTTATAAGAAAATAAGAAAAAAATAATGAATTAATATAATTGAAATGTTTTTTTATCTTTTAAATTTAAACAAATTTAAATAAATAAACAAAAGAAACTAATAAGCTTTAATTTGAGAATTTTAAAATTAAAAGGTAAGTTCATTAATGAAATTAATATCAATTTATTACTACATTTGTTGTAATTATTACATTAAAATATTATTTGGAATTTAATAAATTAGAAAATCTCATAAAATGACACGTGGAAAAAAATTAATTCAAAATAACCACAAAATGACATTTGACAAATTAAATGATACTATGACATGTGGAAAAAAAAGTCTTCATTAATTAGAGTAGATGCCATATAACAACAAAAATGATAGAGATGAAGTAGAGCAACTATAGTCATTCTTGATATTTGGCTGTTTATGCAAATTGTAACAAGACCTATTAATTGCTTCCAACATATGTGATTATTTTCGAAAAGACCATATATAGCTTGATACAAATTTCCAAATGCATACAAATAGCAAGTAACAAAGAAGAAAGAATACAATGATAAAAATGGAAAGAAACAAAAAAACCAGAGCATAAAAAGAAGAAGAACCAAAATATGAGTTTTTTCATACAAATAAACAAAGTGACCTCATGATTAAATTTCAGGTGTCCCAAGTGTTCAAAGTAGAAGCAAAATGGCAACAGAGACCAATATCATTACAGATTCAAACTAACCTAATCTAATAAAACAACTTGTTCTTGTATAAATATCAAATTGAATGTCGGAGAGGAGGGTATTTCAAGTTTAAATTGATTTTGTGAATTACAAGGGAATTAAATTCCATATTAATCTGATATAGGAACTTGATCTTATATAAATATCAAATCAAACAAAAATTCCAAAATACATACTTTTAAACAACCCTTTATACAAATATAGAATCCAAATAGTAATACTTATAACATATATTCATAATTATTTGCATTTTACATTATCTATAAGGCTTCTCTTCCTCTCTTAATCTTGGCAACTCTTACCATAACAACAACATATAACTTGTTCATGGTTTCCTCAGAAAACATGAAAAGCTTGTTTCTCCACTGCTTCTTGAACAACAAAACGCCAATAACACCCGAAAACCCTATTGCAAAACCAAATATTATATCTAGGTACAACCATACCTTCGTCGGCCCATCAGGCGTTTCATCTTTCTTCTCATGCGTTGTTGGGTCTGCAATTGATTTCCTGAGGAAACCAATTGAGTAATTCTTTGGCAATGGAGCTCCACATAGATCTTTGTTGCCAATATATATTGACATATCATCAAGGGTCTGCAATTGATTTCCTGTTGGAATTTCTCCAAACAAGTTGTTGTGTGACAAATTCAAGCGGCTCAAAAAGTTTAAAGAGGCCATGCTTGGAGGGATTATCCCGGTCAACTCATTTTTTGAGAAGTCCAAAGATTCTAATTTCGTCATGTTTCCAATGCTTTCGGGAATGAGCCCACTTAGATGATTATTATACAATTTGAGACCCATCAACATAGAAAGCGCAGTTAGCTCGACCGGAATCCCTTCGACAAGATTATTGCTTGAATGATCCATGTTGAACATTATTTGCCATGCTGTTGTATATTCGCGATCAACACCTTTCACGACTTGATTCACATTCTCATACTCAGCATCCACAAAGGTAAGACTCCCATCTAGGCTACGGTATACCATGGCACTCAACCGTCCTAGACAATTAGGGATGATTCCTGTTAAGTTTTTGAATGCAACATCCAAAATTTGAAGTTCTGAAACATTGCACACAGATCGAGGAATTCCACCAGTGAAGTTATTTCCGCGTAACCTTAAAACCATCAAATATGGAAGTTTTTCTCTGATCCTTTCTGGTATATTCCCAAAAAAATTATTATCACCAAAATCTAAGACCATTAGGCCTTTTAAATTCCCCCATTCTCCACGAAGTTCACCTCTAAACATGTTGTCATTCAGTTTTAACCCAAGCAACGATGAAGAAAAAAGAACTATGGATTTTGGAATGACACCAAACTACTTATTTGAGCTAAATTTCATGCCCTGCAACATTTGCAGATTCGCAAGACTCTTATGAATTTTTCCAGTTAACCTATTTTTGGAAAGATCCAGAAGGAATAAATCTGTCCTTCGGCACAATGACCTTGGAATCGACCCATTAAAAAGGTTATCTTGCAGAAATAATCCTGGGTAAAATCCATATCCAAACACATCAAATTTCCCAATATTAGGAAGGTTTGTCAAAGGACCGATGAGTTTGTTTTGAGAGAGATCTAAGAACTTGAAGGGCATCTTGCGCAACCATGTGGGCAGAGGTCCTGAAATCGAAGCATTTGACAAGGTCAACTCCACAAGCATCCTTTGATTCGGAAGCCACTACGGGGATTCACTTCCTATATTGCAAGAACTAAAACTAACCAATTGGAATGGAGGTATCCACCCGTGTGAAACTTTGAAAGCAAACCTGGTGTTAGAAAAATGGGCTTTAGAAATTACTCATTCTAGAAAATTGTTAGAGATATCAAGACATTGGAGTTTTGGAAGTTGTGAAATTGACACCGGAATAGTCCCATTTAATCTATTTGAAGTCAGCAAAATGGATTGTAATGAAACAAGTCTTCCTAGAGATTCTGGAATTGGACCGTTTAACTGGTTATGAGATAGATCTAATACTTGATTTTAATTTTTTTTTCCCGAATAACACACATGCAGGTCAACACATAGAATAGTGTGTATGTGAGTGTGATTGATTTTCTTGGTGTCTTTGCTTTGCAAATCAGGCCTATGAGATTTGTATCGACGTGAGGTAAAATTCATTTGTATGCATAACAGGTAAGGAGTAATTTACAATAGATGCAAATTATAGTAATGTGTAAATAAATTTACATAACTTATACATTTCGCAAAGGAATGAACAAAGTATAATTCAAAAAATATAATTTTTTTTTCATCAAAACAGACGTAAATCACTTTTTTTTTTTTAATTATAAAATGTTATATTTTATAGCAAAGTGCTTTCAATATACATTGCTATAGTTGGTAAAAATTGATTTTTTTTTTTTTTTTTTTTTTTTCAGAAAAAGAACCTGTACTACTGCATATACTGGAAACCATTATATTGTTTTTTATAATGTGCTATGAAACTACATTGCTATAACTGGTGAAAATTGATTTTTTTTCAAAAAAAAATACAACAAAACCTGTAATACTGCATACATTGAAACACTTTAAAAAATTCTGCATAAATGGGAAACCATTACGTTGTTTTTTAATAAAGTGCTACAATTTATAGCAATGTGATTTAAAACTACATAGCTATAATTGATAAAAAAAAGATTTCTTTTTTTTTTTAAAAAAAAAAAAGACGATAAAACCAGCACCACTGAATATATTGTAACACTTCAAAATTTTTGGCATTTGTTAACCATTATGATGGTTTTTCCAGAAAATTAAAAATGAGGAGTAAGATATAGTGTTTGTATGATGGAATCAGGGAAGAATGGACTGGAATGCAAAAAAAAGTAACCGAAGAATGAATATTCAGTTGTATGAAGAACGAATCTTGAAACCAAACAACAAACATAGACGATATAAACAAAACCATTTCCTTTGTCAGTTATTGTGTGGAAAGCATTCTCCTGTTTCATTGTTTACCTCAGGAAGTGAAACTTATCAGCCAATATCTACAAAATGACCGCATAGAGCTTGATACAAGTTACATCCAAATTTATACAAATAACAAGTACCAAAGGTTGATTACAAAGAAAAAAGATATAACGATAAAAATAATGGAAAAAAACAAGAAAAAAAAAGATTAAAAGAAGAGAAGCAAAAGATGAGTATTTTCATACAAATAAATATATTGACCTCATGATTAGATTTTAGGTGTTCGGAAAAGCAACCCAATTCTCACGAATAGAACCAAAACAATAAAACATCAATCAAGAAAAAACCATAACCTAATATAATCTAACAACTTGATCTTGTATATATTGATAGTTAAATACCATATCGAAAAAAGGTTAAGGGTGAGAGAGGAAGATATTTCAAGTTGAAATCCTACCATGAAGAAAAGGTAATCAGAGAGACAATATTACATAAATCTCTGTAAAGCTCTCTGTATTATTCAATAGGCAAAAACATACAATTACAATAAATAGCAAAGGAATAAGTTAAATACGGCCACAAATCAATCCATCCCTAAGATGGAGGCGGTGACAGGGAAAGATAAAAAAGGAAACAATATGACTAATTTCAATACTCCCTCTCAAGTTGGAGCATGGAGATTAGTAATGCCCAACTTGTTAAGCAAAAAACTGAGTTGTTGTCCTCCAAGAGCTTTTGTAAGTAAATCAACTATTTGCAGGTGAGACTTGATGTAAGTAGGTGAAATTTCCTTGGACTCGACCCGTTCCCGTACGAAATAACAATCCATTTCTACGTGTTTGGTCCGTTCATGGAAAACGGGGTTGTTGGCTATGTGACGAGCAGCGTTATTATCACATAACACAATTGTAGGTCCGTCTTGAGGAGCATCCAGTTCAGTAAGAAGCCACCTAAACCATAGAACTTCATTAACTGTTGTAGCCATGGCACGATATTCCGCTTCTGCCGAGGACCGAGAGACGACAGACTGTTTCTTCGATTTCCAAGAGACCGGAGCTCCACCAAGCATAAGGAGATAGCCAGTCCTAGAGCATCTCGTAAACGGGCAACCTATCCAATCTGAATCACAATATGTGATGAGCTGAGTACCACCTTCTTTTGGTAACAAAATCCCTTGCCCCAAGGTGGTCTTGAGGTAACGCACAACACGAAGTGCAACATCGAGATGGGGCTGTCTTGGGTCAGCCACGAATTGACTTAACAAGTTAACGGAGTATGCAATATCGGGTCGTGTGGCCTGTAAGTACAACAGACGACCAATAAGGCGCCGATACTGACCCGCGTCTACTCGTTACTCAGCATCACTTTTGTCTAATTTTAGGCCTTGTTCCATAGGAAAAGCGCTAGGTTTGCATCCTTCCACACCCATATCTCGAAGTATGTCCAATGTGTATTTTCTTTGGCTGAGTACAATGCCGTCTTTTGTTCGAACCACCTCGATGCCAAGAAAGTATTTCAAGCTACCAAGGTCTTTAATGGTGAATCGACGATTTAATTCAGTTTTGGTTGCTTGTATTTTACTCATGTTGTTACCGACAATGATAACGTCATCGACATATATAAGAGCTGCCACATGAACTATGTCAGTTTTATATATGAACAATGAAGGATCTACGATAGATTGCGTGTAGCCCATTTCATCCAAGGCCTTTGTGAACTTGTGATACCAATTTCGAGAGGCTTGTTTGAGTCCGTAAATGGACTTTCGTAGGCGACAAACACGAGTTTCTTTTTCACTTGTGAAGCCTTGAGGAATCTTCATGTACACTTCTTCTTCAAGATCCCCATGTAGAAATGCGTTGTTAACATCGAGCTAGTGTGTGATCCAGTCTCTTTTTACAGCCAAGGTCAACAGTGTCCTGATAGTTGCCAATTTTGCAACCGGAGCGAACGTGTCGTGATAATCCACCCCTTCTTGTTGGGTGAACCCTTTTGCAACGAGTCGTGCCTTGTATCTTTCGACATCACCATTTGGTTTGTATTTGATTTTATAAACCCATTTGGAATCAATGGCCTTCTTTCCTTCAGGTAGCTCTTCAAGGGTCCACATACCGTTTTGTTGCAATGCTCTTATCTCTTTCTTCATGGCGTCTTGCCATCTAACATCCTGTGAAGCTTGTTGAAAATTCTTTGGCTCATCGTGAGAGTCGATGGCAGAAAGAAACGCCAAGTGATTAGCACTGAAATTTTTATATGAAATATAATGAGCTAAGGGATGTACCGTGGAGGAGGCTTGATCGTGAGACGGGTTTGCATGGTCTATCGAAGGTGGAAGCTTCACTGCATAGTCCTTCAAATGTGATGGTTGTGACCGAATCCTTGTGGGTCGAGTGGGCTCCACTGGTGCCTGGAACTCACTTGTATTTTCGTGATGTCTAGGAGGGTCATCGTCGCTGATAGCATGAGTATTTTCATGTATATCATTTTCATGCAGGTTCTCATCATCTTGTAGGCCCAAGTCGTTATTTTGAGTAGATAAATCTTCATGCACGTAAGGTTGCTCATCAGTGGGTGTATCTCCCTCTTTCGACCAATCAGGTGTGTCTCCCTTTTTCAACCAATCTTCAAATTCTTTTCCATTCTCTTCATGTTCACTAGTCTTGGAGGTCTCATGGCGGTCAATCTGACTGTTTAGATTATCTCCTGAGAAGGGAAAAAACTCTTCTACAAACTTCACATGCCTAGAAATAACTATTTTCTTTTGTTCAAGATCATAAATTCGGTACCCCTTTGTGCCATAAGGATATCCAAGGAAGACCCCTCGTCGTCCTCTTGGTTCAAACTTGTCCCCCTTCGTGTCGCTGTTCCAATGGTAAGTGAGACAACCGAACACCCTCATGTGATCATATTGTGGGTGTTTTCCCAATAGAACCTCGTAGGGCGTTTTGTTGTTTAAGGTTTTAGATGGAATGTGATTAATAATGTATGCAGCCGTCAAAATACATTCTCCCCAAAATTTTATGGGAAGATTTGCCTCAAACCGAATAGCCCGAGCCATTTCAAGAAGATGCCTATGCTTCCGTTCCACAACTCCATTTTGTTGTGGGGTGTGAGGACACGTGGTCTCTAAAATAATGCCTTGTTTTTCATAGAAAACTCTCATCTGATTAGATGTAAACTTACCTCCATTATCACACCTAAAACGTTTGATTTTCTTTCCGAATTGCCTCTTAACCATGTTATGAAAACTTATTAAACACGTGCTGGCCTCACTTTTCTATTTAATCAAGTATACCCAAATGGATCTACTGTAATCATCAACCAAGGTAAGAAAATAATTTGCACGTGACAATGATGGTGTCCTATAACCTCCCCATATGTCACAGTGTATCATATCAAAACAGTCAATTGTCTTTATGGAACTCTTTGGAAAAGGTAGTTTTGCAAATTTTGCTCTATTACATGAGTCACAAACATTATTTTCGGAATCAAACTTGACGTTTCTAAAAAAGTTCACATGAGACAATTTTACATTTGAGGAGTGCCCAAGTCTCTTGTAACATGTGTTGGATGTTACTGCCATTGCCTTCCTTTCTCCTTTTAAAACTTTTATTCGATAGAGACCATTAATGCAATTACCCGTTCCAATCAAGCTCCTCGTTCTCAATCCCTGCATTACAAAGAAATCAGGAAAGAAGGTGATTGCACAATGCAAATCTCTTGTTAGACGTCTAACTGATAAAAGGTTACATTTAAAGTTTGGGATAAATAAGGCCCCGTTTATTTTTATTCCTCCTTTAAGAAAAACCTCACCGTTCCCTTTTACGGGAACATTTATCCCGTTGGCAACAGTGACGGGAGTTTCATTTTCATTTGTGGTGATGTTTCCGAGCACCTCCCTTTGACAGATCATGTACTCGGTTGCACCCGAGTCTATGACACCCCAATTATCATCAAACGTACCTGCCATGTTGGCCTGAGGAGTCTGCTGTTCCGGGTTTCGCTCCTTGCAGTCACTAAAAAATTTCAAGAACATACCATATTGTTCATTACTCAGTCCAGGAACAGGGCTGGGTATGGAATCGGCGAAAGCTGCTTTTGGTTTGAAATTTTCTTTCTTTGTCTTTCCAGGCCACCAATCGGGATACCCGATTCGCTCAAAACATCCTTCCCGACTATGCCCACCTTTTCCACAATGTGTGCAGTTTTCTGTTTTGTTCGTTAAGCCCCTTTTTTCGTTTTTCTGCCACGATTTCTTCTGTGGCCGACTTTCTTTTCTGTTGACCTGTAAGGCGGCCATTTCTGTGGTTATCTTCTTCCCGGTTGTCACGTTTCTTTGATGTTCATCTTCAGCCACCATGTGATAAGAATTACTCAAACTTGGTGTAGGCTTCATTGCTAGTATTTGTGTACGGATGATAGCAAAGTCGCTATCAAGACCCAGAAGAAACTCATACAGGCGCTCTTTCTCCCTTAATTCAACCAACTTATTTCCCACCTCACACTTGCAACCATTACATGTACAACGTGGGGTGGGTAGGACAGTGTTTATTTCATCCCAGATTCTTCTCAGCCTCGTAAAATAAGCCGAAACTGTGACTCCATCTTGTCGAGTTGCATTGAGAATCTGCTTCAATTCATAGGCCCTCGGTGCACTTTCTTTTCCAAAACGTTCGTTCAAATCCTTCCAGATCTCGGCTGCTGTATGTGCGTATTTCACGCTCGCACGTATTTCCTTTTCCATTGCAGTTGTGAGCCACCCCTTGACCATAGCATCGCACCGCATCCATGCCATGTAATCTTTATCGGTGCTTTCTGGTTTCTCGATAGATCCATCGACGAACCCAATTTTGTTCTTGGCATACAAGAGATTTGTCATTTCTTGCACCCAGTCGTTGAAATTGTTGTCTGTCAGCCCTTCATTGACCTGCATTTGTCTTGGAAAATCTGACGGATGGAGATAGAGTGGTGAGTTCGGATCGATTTGATCATTGTTTTTCAACCCTCCTTCTCCGGCCATTAGGGTTTTTGGGTGAGGATCTTAGTTTTGAACGGCCTACTCTGATACCATGAAGAAAAGGTAATCAGAGAGACAATATTACATAAATCTCTGTAAAGCTCTCTGTATTATTCAATAGGCAAAAACATACAATCACAATAAGTAGCAAAGGAATAAGTTAAATAAGGCCACAAATCAATCAATCCCTAAGATGGAGGCGGTGACAGGGAAAGATAAAAAAGGAAACAATATGACTAATTTCAATATACCACTCATTGGTTTTGTGAATTACAACAAAATTAAATTCCATAATGATTTGATAGAGGAAGTTGATCTTATATTAATACCAAATCCAACAAAAATTTCATATTAGACACTTTAAACAACCCATGATGCAAATAGCTTACAAATATAAAATCCAAATAGTAGTCTAAATAAGCACAATACTAGAAACATAAAGTAAAATCATCACTTATAATATATACTCAAGAATTACTTGCATTGCAGATTATCTATAAGGCTTCTCTTCCCCTCCTCATCTTGGCAACTCTTACAACAACTGCCACATATATCTTGTCAATGGTTTCCTCTGCAATCATGAAAAGCTTTTGTCTCCACTGCTTCTTGAACAACAAAACTCCAATAACACCCCAAAACCCTGTTGCAAAACCACACATTATGTCCACGTAAAACCATACCTTCATAGGTCCATCAGTTGCCTCATTTTTCATCTTGTCCATTGTTGGATCTTCATGACTTGAGCAATTCTTTGGCAATGGAGCTCCACATAGATCTTTGTTCCCAACATATATTGATGGATCATCAAGGGTTTGTAATTGATTTCCTGTTGGAATTTGTCCAAACAAGTTGTTGTGTGATAGATTCAACCAGCTCAAAAAGGTTAAAGTTGCCATGCTTGGAGGGATTATCCCAATCAACTCATTTTTTGAGAAGTCCAGAGATTCTAATTTCATCATGTTTCCAATGTTGTACGGAATACGCCCACTAAGATGATTATTAGACAAATTGAGACCCATCAACATTGAAAGAGCAGTTAGCTCGACTGGTATCCCTCCGACAAGTTTATTGCTTGAAAGATCCATGTTGAACATTATTTGCCAACTTTTTGTATATTCACGATCAACACCTTTCAGGACTTGATTCACATTCTCGTACCCAGCATCCAGAGAGGTAAGACTCCATTTTAGGTTACTATATACCATGGCACTCAACCCTCCTAGACAACGAGGGATTGTTACTGTTAAGTTGTTGAATGCAACATCCAAAATTTGAAGTTCTGAAATATTGCACACAAATGGAGGAATTACACCGATGAAGTTATTTCCACGCAACCTTAAAACCATCAATTGCGGAAGTTTTTCTCCAATTTGTTTGGGTATTTTCCCAAAAAAATTATTATCACCAAAATCTAAGACCATTAAACCTTTTAAATTCCCCCATTCTTCAGGAAGTTCACCACTAAACATATTGTCATTCAGTTTTAACCCAAGCAACGATGAAGAAAAAAGAACTATGGATTTTGCAATGACACCAGACAACTTATTTGAGCTCAATTTCATGCCCTCCAACTTTTGCAGATTTGCAAGACACTTGGGAATTTTTCCAGTTAACCTATTTTTGGAAAGATCAAGAAGGTGTAAATCTGTCCTTTGGCACAATGACCTTGGAATCGACCCATTAAAAAGGTTATCTTGCAGAAATAATCCCGGGTAAAATCCACTTCCAGACACATCAAATTTCCCCGCACTAGGAAGGTTTGTCAAAGGACCGATGAGTTTGTTTTGAGAGAGATCTAAGAACTTGAAGGGCATCTTGCGCAACCATGTGGGCAGAGGTCCTGAAATCGAAGCATTTGACAAGGTCAACTCCACAAGCATCCTTTGATTCTGAAGCCACTGCGGGAATTTGCTTCCTATATTGCAAGAACTAAAACTAACCAATTGGAATGGAGGTATCCACCCGTGTGAAACTTTGAAAGTTAACCCGTTGTTAGAAGATATATCCAAGTACTTTAACATCGAAATATTAGCAAAATGGGCTTCAGAAACTACTCCTTCTAGAAAATTGTAAGAGATATCGAGAGAATGGAGTTTTGGAAGTTGTGAAACCGACACCGGAATAGTCCGATTTAACCTATTTGAAGACAATGAAATGGCTTGTAATGAAAAATGTCTTCCTAGAGATTCTGGAATTGGACCATTCAATCGATTAAAAGAAAGATGAAGATTGGAAAGTCTCCCAAGGAATGTCGGAATAGGTCCGGTTAATTGGTTATGAGAAAGATCTAACACTTCTAAAAATCTTAGCCTTGTTACACATTCGGGGATTGGACCTTTCAATCTGCAGAACGATAGATCTAATTCTCTTAAATTGGCCGATCTACCAAGTGATTCCGGAATTATACCATGCAAACTATTAAATAAATTTAACATCTCCATAGCATAATCAGGGCATTCTGATATGTTTTTTTGTGACTCGATCACTTGCGCATCAAAAGGATTAAATGCAACACTCAATTTTTTCAAGTAACACTGTCCCCAAATTCGAACATGCTCAATCTGCTTAAACTTGTTATAAGAAAGATCAAGCTCTAGGAGGTTAGGCATAATGGGTACTGATGAATTCAACATGTTTCCCCAAAGGTCAAGGACTCTTAGGGAACTCATATTTGTTAAATCAGATGGAAATATGCCTCCAATCCAATTACCACTAAGATCCAGGTGTTGGATGTTAGAAAGTGTACTGAAATTGAGATGATGGGAAGATAGATGCGTATTATGAAGCCCACAATTTCTCAAATACAGCTCTGATAAAGATGGGATCATGTTTAGCAAGTCTGCAAAGCTCCATGCCAAACTAAAATCAAATCCTGAAAGATCTAGGGATGCTAGGGATGTCATATTTTGAAAAACGTCAGGGAGTGGACCTTTGAAATAATTGTGGGCAAGATCCAGGTGTTCGATGTTGGGAAGCATTCTACTCGAATTAAGTGATTGACCAAGATCAGAAAAGTAAAGTTGACATGCTTGCAAACTTAACTCTTTTAAGGAAGGAATCATGTAAAGCACCATATCTGCATGCTTTGCTTGAATAAGATTCAAGAAACTCAAGTCTAGATGCTTCAGTGACGAAAGACCAGAAGTCCATGCCATATCATCTACCATTAGCTCTTGGTTTGAACTGAGATCAAGAACTTCTAATTTAGAAAGGTTTCCAATATGATGAGGAATCATACCTTGGAAATGAGCATTAGAAAGATTGAGATAAGTCAGCTGTTTCAGTGACCCAATGAACTTGGGAATCTTTCCTTGAAAAATATTCCAACTCATATCCAAGTATTTGAGATGCCTCAATTCTGCCAAAGAAGAGCTCACCTCATTGCCAATTAAGTAGAACTTTTTAAAAAGAAATTCAGCTTCCGAGTCTCCTCTGAGATGAAGGCTCTCCACATTTCCTGTGACACTGTCACACTTGATTCTTCCCCACCTACAACAATCATTGCCAACCCATGATGACAACATTCCAAAGTCATCTTGGACACTCTCTTTGAACTTCAGAAGAGCAAGTCGCTCTCGCTCAGAGCAAACTGCACTTTTATTTCTAACACCCAAACAAGTATACGTGGTTGCACTCAAGAAAATACTTAGGAAAATAATATGGAGACCCAAACCCCATTCATTCCCCATTATAAACCCGATTTTTTTTTTAGTTTTGAAAAAAAAAGGAAGTGAAAAGATGGATTGTTATGATGAGCTAATGCATTCTGATGAGTAAGAAAGTAGTTGATTTTATAAAGCCAGAAATGAGAAAAAGCTATTATCATGGAAGACTTGGTAGTCAACTCACAAGTCGTGGAAGACTTCCAAAATTGAAATAAATAGACAATTTTGTATGGACGTACTCTTAATTTTTCTCGAAGGGTCCCATCAACTGAAAGGGCAATTTGATAGGATGCCGTGAGAAATGTTCCACCCAATGGGATTGTATCATTGATTGATCATTTGTTTGACAAAAGTATATGAAGAATATGCTCCAGTTATTACGGAAACCCTAAATTAATCAATTTCAAGGAAATTTATTGTTATATTGCGATCTGGTCCAGGTTTAACATAATTGAATTAATCCTTTTAAATGCTTATACTTTGATTATGATTATCAAAGGTGAAATCAACCAATCTTAGAATCGAATCAACTTCAAAGTTGCACAGAATATGGCCCACCAAAATCCCACTACAGATCTTCATAGAGGGTTTGAGCGCCTGATTTCATCATATCCAGGCATTGAAATAGATTGTACCGAGAACATAACAACATGAGGATCGTTTTTTTGGCTTATGATGAATTCAATATATGTTGCAACCCCATATTTTTTCTAGTACAAAATTTGAATTATCTACAAGATCAATCAAATCACTCTTTATTTTACATTAGGAAGGAAGCAGATTAGGAGAACAACACCTGATGTTTATATTTATATATTATGCCATATGGCAACAAAAATGACGGAGGTGAAGTAGAGTAACTAAAGGCATTCTTGATATTTGGCTGTTTATGCATATTGTAACAGAGCTAGGTGTATTTAAAATAAGTATTGTGTTATTGTATTCATAAATGTAGGCCAATCAAAATTTAAAATAAAAATAAATAATTAAATAAATAAGTAAGGGTAAATCGGTAATTTGATAATTAGTTTCCACAAATAATAGCCTATAATTATGGTAACTATTGACTTAGCTACCTAGGTTTTTTCCACCTCTTTTTAAAACCACAATGACGAATTAAAGGGGTGTTTTGGCTCGGTGACTCTTTGTGTTCGTTCTCCCATCGTCGGCAGCCCTAAAAACAACAACGGTTGTGGCGGTCGACAGACAAGAAATCGCATGTAATAAGGGATTGTCAATCGATCTCCAGAGGACTCCTCCTTGGTTCATTTGCTTCGTCACCAGTGATCACAAATCAAGGGGGAGAAGAATCGATTGACAGAAGACGGTAAGATATTTCATCTTTTCTCTTTTCTCTTCTCTTTTCCTTTTTTTTGTTCTAGTAGTCTCTAGTTGTTCTTGTTTAGGTTGATTTGAAAGAAACGGAGGTAGGAAGGTGGTTCGGTGGAGGCAGGGAAGAAGAACCGAAATCAGATGGGTGTTTGGATTGAGGTTGTGAAATCAATGGGCAAGCAGAAGAAGAAACAAAGGGTTGTTGTTGGCTGTATAATCACAGGTTTCTCTAATCTTCTTTCTTATTTTGATTGATTTACTATAAATCAATGAAGTTTAATCGATAGGTTTAGATGAGTTTTTAGGTTTGTTTGGTTTTTTTCTTTTTTGTTCAACTAACATCCTATTTGATCGCATCTGTGAGTAAAACTGTCTTCTGGATTCCTGTGAGCTCTAACATCCTATTTCAAGGTTGTTTGCACACCAAATTAGTATTTATTCTTATTTCTGTGCTGGTTCTACGTTTGAATTCATATCAGATGTCACGTGCTCTCCATCTTAATGAGATGCTTGGTTGTTTCTCAGGATCTTGTGTGGCTGTTTGGCCATTGTTTGGTTTTCTTGTGTGAAATCAATGATAAAGATGATGACTTGATGAGGGCATTAATGTCAAAATCAAAAAAAATTATTTTTTAATGGAGTCTTTTGTATGATGATAAAAGAGGCAAATTTGGTTTAAAAGCTTGAACTTTATCATAAAGTTATGGGTTTTGAACATGTCAATTGCTCTAAAAGGTACAGTTTGTTCTTGACCAATTTTTTTGCTGCATTTTATAAATTGATTCATATTTCAATTTATGGTTTTTTTTTTTTTTTTTTTTTTTTTTTTTTTTTTTTTTTTTTTTTTTCCTAATTTAACACTTCATTTATGTGGACAGTGTAGGATCTTGATAATGTTGAATTCTGAAAAGGTATCAAGTATGTTTATGTAGATGATTCAATGGATGATATTAGTAAGATTCCAATTCCATTGGAATGGAATCATGAATATCAATTATGTTGGAATGGAATTACGAATTCCAATTCTATTGGAATCACAGAAGTTGATGTTTGAAGAACGGACCACAAAATTGAAATGGACCACATTATTCTTTTAGAATGTATTAGTAGTTGTTAGATTTTGATGCTTTCTTTCCCGTTTTGAAAGTTCTTTTTAGTTTTATTCTTTAACAATAAATATAATTCTTAACAATTGTTACTTGTATTCTATAAGAAATAATGTATTTTTTGTTTTTATTTTTCAATTGATTATTCAAGAATTTGTTATTCTACAAGAAGTTTTTAAATTCATGATCAAGAAATAGGTTCAAGAAATTTTTTATTATTTATGGTTCTAAGAATATTTTTATTATTGAACGTACTCATAAACATATTTTGTCAGAATGTCCGAACTAAAAGAATTATAATTCGTAAAATCGGTTTTTAAAAATTAATAGAATCTATGATCCCTTAAAAATATGCAATTTTGCTTTATTGAATATATATTAATTGACTAAATTACCGTTGTAATTAATTAAGATGATATTTTTTTAATTATATGTAATTCAATAATATATATTAATCACTTTTTATAAATAAGTAAATTTGATTGACCCACATTTATGCATACAATAACACAATAGATACTCTAAACAAAATAACCTAAGCCTATTGTAACAAGACCTATTAATTGCTACCAATGACCAATGGTACGCGATTATCTTTAAAAGGACCATTTATAGCTGGATACAAATTTCCAAATGCATACAAATATCAAGTAACAAAGAAGATAGAATACAATGTTAAAAATGGAAAAGAATCAAGAAAACATAGCATAAAAAGAAGAACCAAAAGATGAGTTTTTTCAAACAAATAAACAAAGTGACCTCATGATTAAATTTCAAGTGTCCCAAGTGTTCACAGTAGAACAAAAGCTACAACCGAGACTAATACCATTACAGATTCACACTAACCTAAGCAAATCTAACTTGATCTTGTATAAATATCAAACTGAATGTCAGAGAGGAGGGTATTTCAAGTTGAAATATACCACTCTTGGTTTTGTGAATAACAATAGAATTAAATTCCATATTAATCTAATATTGGAACTTGATCTTTATATAAATATCAAATTAAACAAAAATTTCAAAGTAGATATTTTTAAACAACCCTTTATACAAATATAGCATCCAAATAGTAGTACAAATAACCACGGTAGTAGTATTAAATAGTAAAATACTTATAACATATATTCATAATTATTTTCATTTTAGATTATCTATAAGGCTTCTCTTCCTCTCTTCATCTTGGCAACTCTTACCACAACTGCAACGTATATCTTATCCATGGTTTCCTCAGCAAACATGAAAGGCTTCTTTCTCTACTGCTTCTTGAACAATAAAACTCCAATAACACCCCAAAACCCTGTTGCAAAACCAGATATTATGTCTAGGTAAAACCACACCTTCATCAGCCCATCAGGTGTTTCATCTTGCTACTCACCCGTTGTTGGATCTTCATGGCTTGAGCAATTCTTTGGCAATGGAGCTCCACATAAATCTCTGTTCCCAACATATATTGATGGATCATCAAGGGTAATTGATTTTCTTTTGGAATTTGTCCAAAAAAGTTGTTGTGTGACAAATTCAAGTGGCTCAAAAAGTTTAAAGTTGCCATGCTTGGAGGGATTATCCCGGTCAAATTATTTTTTGAGAAGTCCAAATATTCTAATTACATCATGTTTCCAATGCTTTCCAGAATACGCCCACTTAGGTGATTATTAGATAAATTGAGACCCATCAACATAAAAATAGCAGTTAGCTCGATTGGTATCCCTCCGATAAGTTTATTGCTTGAGAGATCCATATTAAAAACTATTTGCCAACTTGTTGTGTATACAAGATCAACACCTTTCAGGACTTGATTCAAATATTTCTCTTCAAAATCGTCACTACCACCAATCTTGCCACAAATATTTGATACCATTCCATGCAAACTTCCTAGACACCGGGGGATGGTTCCGGTTAAGTTGTTGTATGAAATATCCAAAACATGAAGTTCTAAAATATCACACACAGGTCGAGGAATTCAACCCATGAAGTTATTCCCACGCAACCTTAAAACCATCAAATCTTGAAGTTTTTCTCCAATCCATTCCGGTATATGCCCAAAGAATTCATTATCACCCAAATCTAAGATAGTTAAACCTGGTAAATCCCCCAATTCTCTTGGAAGTTTACCAGTAAACTTATTGTCATTCAATTTTAACCCAAACAATGATGAAGAAAAAAGAGCTATAGATCCGGGGATGACACCAGACAACTTATTTAAGCTAAATCTCATGCCCTCCAACTTTTGCAGATTCACAAGACACTTGGGAATTTTTCCAGTTAACCTATTTTTGGAAAGATCAAGAATGACCAAATCTTTCCATCTACACAATGACCTTGGAATCGACCCATTGAAAAAGTTATCTTGGAGAAATAATCTCGGGTAAAATGCATATCCAGACACTTGAACTTTCCCCCCATTAGGAAGGTTTGTCAAAGGACCGATGAGTTTGTTTTGAGAGGGATCTAAGAACTTGATGTGCATCTTGTGCATCCATGAGGGCAGGGGTCACGAAATTGTTGCATTGGACAACACCAACTTAATAAGCGTCCTTTGATTCCGAAGCCATTGTAGGAATTTGCTTCCTATATTGCAAGAACTGAATATAACCAATTGGAATGGAGGTATCCACCCGTGTGAAACGTTGAAAGTTAACCCAGTGTTAGAAGAAGTATCCAAGTGCTTCAACATTGAAAGGTTAGCAAAATGAGCTTCAGAAACTAATCCATCTAGAAAATTGTTAGATACATCTAGAGAATGAAGTTTTGGAAGTTGTGAAATTGACACTGGAATAGTCCCATTTAATCTATTTGAAGTTAGCAAAATGGCTTGTAATGAAACAAGTCTTCCTAGAGATTCTGGAATTGGACCGGTTAACTTGTTATGAGATAGATCTAACACTTCTAAAAATCTTAGCCTTGTTACAGATTTGGGGATTGGGCCTATCTATCCACAACTCGATAAATCTAATTCTCTTAAGTTGTCCAATCTACCAAGTGATTCCGGAATTCTACCATACAAACTATAATCTAAACTCAACCTCTTCAAAGAATATCCGGAGCATTCCGATGCATTTTTTAGCAAGTCAATCATTTCTAATATAAAATGATTGAATGACACACTCAATTTTTTTAGTTGACATTGTCTCCATATTCCAACATGTTCAATCTGCTTGAACATGTTCTCAGAAAGATCAAGCTCTATGAGGTTGCGCATAATAGTTACTGATGTCATGTTTTTTAAAAAGCGAGGGAGTGGAACTTGGAAATTGACAAAGGATCCAAGTTCCAGGTGTTTGATGTTGGGAAGTATTTTACTAGAATTAAGAGAATGATCAAGATCAGACAAGTAAAGGTTAGATGCATGCAAACATAACGTTTTTAAAAAAGGCATGTAAAGCACCATATCCCTATGCTTAGCTCCAGAAAGTTTCAAGAAACTCAAGTCGAGATGCTTAAGTGACGAAAGGTGGCTAAAAGTCCATGTCATATCATTTGCCATCAACTCATAGTTTGAACTGAGGTCAAGAACTTCTAAATTTGAAAGATTTCCAATATGATGAGGAACAATACCTTCAAAACCAGTATGAGAGAGATTGAGATAGGTCAGCTGTTTCAATGATCCAATGAACTTAGGGATCCTACTTCCTTTAAAAACATTCCTACTCATATCCAAGTACTTTAAATACCTCAAATCTGCCAAAGAAGAGCTCACCTCATTTCCAACTAAGTAGAAATTTTGAAGAAGAAATTCATCTTCCGAGCTTCCTCTAAGATGAAGGCTTTCCACATTTCCAGTGACAACGTCACACTGGATTCTTCCCCACCTGCAACAGTCATTTAGAAATGGAAATAAATGCACAATTTTGTATCGATCTATTATTTTTCTCTTTGGGTCCCTCCAACTGAAAGGTAATTTCGTGTGATGCCGTGAGAAATGTTCCACCCGATGGCATTGTATCACTTTGTTGGACAAAAATATATGAAGGGTATGCTCGACATGAGTTAGGGAAAACCCTAATTAAATTAATGGATTAAAAAAAAATATTATTGTCATAGTGCGATCTGGTCCATAGTTACTAGGATCGCTTGCCCCCTTATGTTTTTCGTTCCAGATCGTACGGTCCAAAAACGGGACCAATTGCGATCCAATCGTTTCCTAGATCGCGACCCAAACGCAAATTCGACCGACCCTAATCGCTTGAATTGTCGATTGGATTACACTAAGGATCGCGATTTCAACCTACTGAATCCATCACACCACCAATTACAGGAACGCCGAATCATCAATTTCAGGAACGTTCGGGAAAAATTGAAAATTAAAAAAAAAAACAACAACATCGGGCAGCTGAAACGTTGGTTCCAGAATTGGGGAACCCAAAAAAAAGAATGATGATCATGAGGTATGGGGAATCAAAATCAATTAGGAAATTCTATTAGTCTATTTCATATTCACGGTATTCTTCTACACCTTCAAACACCGAAACCAATTTCTTTGTTGGAAAAATGGTATTTGGTAAAGATAATCCCGTTCCAGAAAGTGTTGATGTTACCTTGACTGATTCTAATAATGAAGATGGGGAAGATGGAGTTCTAGGTATTGCAGAAAGTGTTGAAGCTCCTCAAAATGTTGAGGCTTCCAAGGTTGATAAGCCCTGTTGCAGGAAGTGGACATAGTTGGTGTATCAGGGAGTAAAAACGCAGGGGGGTCAAAGAAATGGGTGTGTAAGCACTACCATCAAATGTTTACCAGCTCTTATACTAGAATTCATGAACACTTTTTTGGTGCTGCAATCGGGAAAGCACCAGAAATCAAAAGGTGTCCTGTTATACTCAAGGATCGGGTTAAATATCAAACTTGTTAAACAGAGTAAATGCTGCTGAATCAAAAGGTATTTCTAAGTCTTTGAAGAACTCTGTAATTAATAAAAAACAGAGATCTACTTCTAAATCTAAAAAACCACTTGAAGATTCTTTTGGTATGATGGAAAGAAACACAGTTGATATGAAGATTATGAGAGCATTATATGCTAATGGCATTCCTTTCAATGTTCTACGTAATCCTCAATTTCAAGAGATGATAACAGCCATAAACAGGGCACCTGCTGGTTATAAGGCTCCTTCATATGATAAAGCGCGAACCGTTTTGCTTGACGAGTGTGTGAGAGATGTGGAAAAGGGGCTGACTTCAGTGAAGGATAAATGGTATACACAGGGGGTTTCTATTGTGTCGGATGGCTGGTCGAATGTTAAACATCGACCATTAATCAATATTATTGCTACCAACAGCCGTGGAGCCATGTTTATGTATGCAGAGGACTTTTCTGGTGTAGAGAAGACAGGAGAAGCAATTGCAAACTTCTTGCTTGAAGCCATAGAAACCGTAGGACCAAGGAATGTTCTACAAGTTGTTACCGACAATGCGGCATACTGTAAGGCTGCTGGAAAGGAGGTGGAGAAGGTACATAAACAAATTTTCTGGTTTCCTTGTTGTGTCCATACTTTGAATTTAATTTTTAAAGATCTTGCAATTGATTGTTTTTGGCTAATGGACACATATAGGAAATGGAAAATAGTTAAGTATTTTCTTAATCACACCCACGCATTAGCTTTGATAAACAGCGACTCATTAGTGTGTACCCTTGAATGAATTGTATTTTTAAATCATATGTGATCTCAATTGAAACTTAAGCTCTATATTGATTATCAATAAAGCGTCACTAACTATGTTGTTCAAATGGTATCAGGTTCTATGCTCCTATTCAAACCTTGACGTTATGCATCAACCAAAAAACATTTTTTTCCTCCTATTGTCAGTCAAATATGCATTTTAACACACATATTAACAGAGGTATACAACTAATATACTACTAATTTTTAATTCTTATTTTGTATTTAGCTTTTACGTACCCATTCATCCTTGATTATTAAGAAAGTCGATGAATATAAATTTTAATTGCAATCTCATTTTTTTTGCAGAAAATAAAAGCAGATGATGGAAAATTACATAGAATAGCAACATACTTTAAATTGGATACCAATTTATACAATGTACTTCCTTATTTATCTCAGAAAAGAAACACATTCTGCCCCGCGCAACGCGCGGGTAACCCCTCTTGTTACTTATTATTTAAGTTTAAAAAAGTTTCTATTAGATTTTTCTGAGTTTAGTGTTTCTTATTACATTTTTTCACATAGGAGTTGTTTAGAATTACCTATTATTTATATATGTTTAAAAATGTTTCTATTAGATTTTTCGGAGCTTTGTGTTTTGGTATTATATTTATGTGCATTTAATATAGAAGAATGTGGATTTTTATGTAATTATCTTATAAGAAATAAATTTATATTTATCGACGGCTTAGTGGCGGAAATCCGTCACAAAAATAGTCATATATTCCATCGGTAACCTGTTGAAACCCCGTTACAATTCCGTCAGTAAAGCCCATTAGTGACGGATTACTTACAGTTTTTGCCATCGGTAATGCCCTTTTTTATAGTAGTGGAAGGAAGCAGATTAGGAGAACAAACTCTTAATGTTTATATTTATATATTACTAGTTGTGAGACCCATGTATTTACATGGGTTAAATTAAAAAAAAATTAAATATAAAAGTTAAAATATTTGAGAACTTTGAATTTATAAGAAAATAAGAAAAAAATAATGAATTAATATAATTGAAATGTTTTTTTATCTTTTAAATTTAAACAAATTTAAATAAATAAACAAAAGAAACTAATAAGCTTTAATTTGGGAATTTTAAAATTAAAAGGTAAGTTCATTAATGAAATTGATATCAATTTATTACTACATTTCTTGTAATTATTACATCAAAATATTATTTGGAATTTAATAAATTAGAAAATCTCATAAAATGACACGTGGAAAAAAAATAATTCAAAATAACCACAAAATGACATTTGACAAATTAAATGAAGTATGACATGTGGCAAAAAAGCTTTCATTAATTAGAGTAGATGCCATATAACAACAAAAATGATGGAGATGAAGTAGAGCAACTATAGTCATTCTTGATATTTGGCTGTTTATGCAAATTGTAACAAGACCTATTAATTGCTTCCAACATATGTGATTATTTTCAAAAAGACCATATATAGCTTGATACAAATTTCCAAATGCATACAAATAGCAAGTAACAAAGAAGAAAGAATACAATGATAAAAATGGAAAGAAACAAAAAAAAAGCAGAGCATAAAAAGAAGAAGAACCAAAATATGAGTTTTTTCATACAAATAAACAAAGTGACCTCATGATTAAATTTCAGGTGTCCCAAGTGTTCAAAAGCAAAATGGCAACAGAGACCAATACCATTACAGATTTAAACTAACCTAATCTAATCAAACAACTTGTTCTTGTATAAATATCAAATTGAATGTCGGAGAGGAGGGTATTTCAAGTTTAAATTGATTTTGTGAATTACAAGGGAATTAAATTCCATATTAATCTGATATAGGAACTTGATCTTATATAAATATCAAATCAAACAAAAATTTCAAAATACATACTTTTAAACAACCCTTTATACAAATATAGAATCCAAATAGTAATACTTATAACATATATTTATAATTACTTGCATTTTACATTATCTACAAGGCTTCTCTTCCTCTCTTAATCTTGGCAACTCTTACCACAACATCAATATATATCTTGTTCATGGTTTCCTCAGAAAACATGAATAGCTTCTGTCTCCACTGCTTCTTGAACAACAAAACACCAATAACACCCGAAAACCCTATTGCAAAACCAAATATTATATCTAGGTACAACCATACCTTCGTCGGCCCATCAAGCGTTTCATCTTTCTTCTCACGCGTTGTTGGGTCTTCATGGCTTGAGTAATTCTTTGGCAATGGAGCTCCATATAGATCTTTGTTGCCAATATATATTGACAGATCATCAAGGGTCTGCAATTGATTTCCTGTTGGAATTTCTCCAAACAAGTTGTTGTGTGACAAATTCAAGCGGCTAAAAAAGTTTAAAGAGGCCATGCTTGGAGGGATTATCCCGGTCAACTCATTTTTTGAGAAGTCCAAAGATTCTAATTTCGTCATGTTTCCAATGCTTTCGGGAATGAGCCCACTTAGATGATTATTAGACAATTTGAGACCCATCAACATAGAAAGCGCAGTTAGCTCGACCGGTATCCCTCCGACAAGATTATTGCTTGAATGATCCATGTTGAACTTTATTTGCCATGCTGTTGTATATTCGCGATCAACACCTTTCACGACTTGATTCACATTCTCATACTCAGCATCCACAAAGGTAAGACTCCTATCTAGGCTACGGTATACCATGGCACTCAACCCTCCTAGACAACTAGGGATTGTTCATGTTAAGTTGTTGAATGCAACATCCAAAATTTGAAGTTCTGAAACATTGCACACAGATGGAGGAATTCCACCGATGAAGTTATTTCCACGCAACCTTAAAACCATCAATTGTGGAAGTTTTTCTCCGATCCTTTCTGGTATATTCCCAAAAAAAATATTATCACCAAAATCTAAGACCATTAGGCCTTTTAAATTCCCCCATTCTCCAGGAAGTTCACCTCTAAACATATTGTCATTCAGTTTTAACTCAAGCAACGATGAAGAAAAAAGAACTATGGATTTTGGAATGACAACAGACTTTTTATTTGAGCTAAATTTCATGCCCTGCAACATTTGCAGATTCACAAGACACTTGGGAATTTTTCCAGTTAACCTATTTTTCGAAAGATCCAGAAGGAATAAATCTGTCCTTCGGCACAATGATCTTGGAATCGACCCATTAAAAAGGTTATCTTGCAGAAATAATCCTGGGTAAAATCCATATCCAAACACATCAAATTTCTCAATATTAGGAAGGTTTGTCAAAGGACCGATGAGTTTGTTTTGAGAGAGATCTAAGAACTTGAAGGGCATCTTGCGCAACCATGTGGGCAGAGGTCCTGAAATCGAAGCATTTGACAAGGTCAACTCCACAAGCATCCTTTGATTCTGAAGCCACTGCGGGAATTCGCTTCCTATATTGCAAGAACTAAAACTAACCAATTGGAATGGAGGTATCCACCCGTGTGAAACTTTGAAAGTTAACCCGGTGTTAGAAGATATATCCAAGTACTTTAACATCGAAATATTAGCAAAATGGGCTTCTGAAACTACTCCTTCCAGAAAATTGTAAGAGATATCGAGAGAATGGAGTTTTGGAAGTTGTGAAACTGACACCAGAATAGTCCCATTTAGCATATTTGAAGACAATGAAATGGCTTGTAATGAAAAATGTCTTCCTAGAGATTCTGGAATTGGACCATTCAATCGATTAAAAGAAAGATGAAGATTGGAAAGTCTCCCAAGGAATGTCGGAATAGGTCCGGTTAATTGGTTATGAGAAAGATCTAACACTTCTAAAAAGACCTTTGGTCCATTATGAAAGGACATTTGCCATTGATATTTACGAAATTAAAAGATAAAATTTTCTGTAAAATTTGGGCCGTTACACAAATTCCCTAATAAGGCGTGCAATCTTGAGAAGTCTATCTATGCACTTAAACAATCATCTCGTAGCTGGAATCTTTGCTTCCATAATAAGTTCATAGAGTTTGGATTTATTAGAAGTGAGTATGGTTCCTGTATATATGTCAAAGCTAGTGGGAGTGTAGTGACCTCACTACTTTGCATGTTGATGAAAAACACCTTATAGGAAACAATATTCCTACTTTGCAAGAGGTTTAATATTGGCTTCGGAAATGATTTTCTATGAAGGATGTAGGCTAGGCTACATACAATATTGGAATAAGGATTTACAAAGATGGGCATATATGTTTGCTTGGGCTTAGCCATATTACTTGAATAAAATACTAATAATTGTTTAATATGGAGAATTCGAAGAAAGTGTATTGCGGCTTATAAAATCCAATGATGGTATCAAAGCCTAATATGTTTTAGTTATTTTCACTACCTAAAGAAATTTGTTATTAACAGATATGTTCTCATGAGAAAGAAACTTGTTAAATTTATAAAGCCATAAATAAAGAGAAGTTATTGGAATGGAAGAAATGGAAATCAACTAACAAGTCTTCGATGAATTTGAAAGAAATGGATAATTTTTATCAATACATGTTGTTTCTCTAAGGCACCCTATTTGATAAGAATTGGTACAAATGTTTTTAGATTAATTTATAATAATTATGTGCCAAGAGTTAAACATAGGTCAATATTGGCTTAGTTTTTAGGTGTGTTTCGTGTAACCTATACCTCTATGTTTGAAACCTAACATCAATTTTATTTTTATGTGCACACGTCATAAAACCCTTCCGAGCACCTTAGATCCAACCTAGATCTGTCCAAAACCGAACCCACCCATGATTAAGACCGAAATATATTTTTTCAACTTTTCCTATTGAATGACTAATTTTTTTATTTCTGCTAAAGAAGCCACTCATTTTTGGATAAAAATTATCGTTACGACCATTATGATCTGCAAATGTCGGTTTTGCACCATTTTTTGTTCTAAAAATCACTCATATTTTGAAAGATTTCTATCGCAACCATTATCCTTTTTTAATTTTAGGGTTTGTTTTTATTGAAAAAAGTTAATATTTTAAAATCTTTCTTCGCCTATAAATTGATCTATATCGATAAATGTTGATGGCACGAAGTTCATTTTTTTGTTGTTAAAAAACCAAATGCCGGTTTTGCACCATTTTTTGTTCTAAAAATCACTCATATTTTCAAACATTTCTAGCATAACCATTATCCTTCTTTAATTTTAGGGTTTGTTTTTATCGAAAAAAGTTAATATTTCAAAATTTATAATCTTTTTTCCATTGTAAGTTGATCTATATAGATAAACGTTGATGCCACAAAGTTCATTTTTTGTTGTTAAAAACCAATCGGTTTCATTTTGTATGAGTTAGTTTGAGTTTGTTAGCTTGAAAATGTTGGATTAAGTGTCTAAGACCTTAACTAAATTGTTATAATCTTAGTGAATAAAAGTAAAATCATTTTCGGGTTGCCCTCATATCCGAGAAATGGCTTAGATTATACTAAAAGAGAAATAAATGATTTATTAATATATTATATGATTGATATATTAATAAGAATAGTTAATAATTAGTTAAGAATTAACTGGAATTCATGATGGGTTAATTAGAATTAACTAAACGGTTCAACGGTTGAATATAAATTATTCAATAATTGAGTAAGGAAGGGAATTATAGATCCTTCTTTTATATGGACGGTTTTAATGAGCTAAAGCAAGGGTTCAGGAAGCCTCCTGAATCAAATAAGAAAATTATATTTAAATCAACTTAAAATAATATTATTTTAATATTCATATCTATGGTTTCAAGGTTACTTACCAATTAAAGGGTCATAACCCTTATGAAAACCAATTTATTACACTCTCATAAGAAGAAATTATCTTTCACTTCTCCCCTCCCTCCTTAATATAGAGTCTAGAGTTTCCTAGGGTTTTGGGGGTGACACATTAGAGATTACGACATTGTAAAGCTATCAAAGGAGATCTACCGGAAGGCTTCCAACATCAATTGGTTGTTGCTATAGATATGATTCTAACATTAGTAAATTTTGATTTTAGTTGGTTAGATGTTCTTTCATAGAGTATGTTGCTATAACTAAAGAGAATGTCACAGTGTTCTAGGTTGCATGTGTCCATAAGTTTTTGTGTAAAATCCGTTGTGCAAATCCTTTTGTTGTAACCTCGAAAACCCATCAATGTTATTAGACCCTAGGAGGATTTTCTGTTATTAGTATATATTATGAAACTAGAAATTGATACCTAAAGAAAATTGTAAATCGTAAGGCACAACAAACATGTAGTTTAGCACAACACGTTTTTGGCCGCGGTAGGGTTTCAGCATTTACTTGTCTTTTTTGAATTGTAGGATAACTATTAGTCTTTATTTTTTGTTTTATATAATTAAAATCTGATTAATTCTAAAAAATCGTAAAACTATAATTCAAAAATTCCAGAAATAATATAAAACGAAACTAACATAACCAAGATAATGATTTATGCTTAAAAGATTTAATGCATTTAATAATGGTTTATTAAAAGATAAATATTAAATCTAAATTGGTTTAAAAGATTAATTGATTAAAGGTTAATTCAGAAAATTAAATTTATACCTTTTATTTATAAGATGTATAAGTTACAAAACTTTTAGTACAAGTTCTTTATGCGTAAATAATACATTACTACTTGCCAAAAGTTTAAGTATGCTTAAGTATCGAGCCATATGAGCTTGCTGAGAAGCAGCTAACTGTCATACCTGCAAACCGGAGCAGCGGAAAACGTCTGAGGGTGGATGACTTTATATATGTAAAAAAACAGAGTTTATAGAACATTTAAAATTGATTTAGAAATATTTAGAAATCATTTATTTGTACACACAATATTCTTATGTTAGGCTTGTATTTCCCGCCAAAAATAGTGAAAAATAACAGCAACGCAGGGGCATGAACTCACTTGATAAGTGGCGATTCATGCAGTGTTTCATTTCTAGGAATGATTTTTTCCTGACAAAAGCATGAGTTTTTGATGAGAAATCGGGCTTTATGCGGGCAGAGTTTCGACTGGAAAATATTATTTTCAGGAGGACTTCGGAGCTCGTGGCTTTCTTCGGGTGTTAGGGGGTATCCCTAGGCTTCGGTGTAACACCCCGTTCATAAAGTATTTAATAATGAGTCCTTGAGATTTAGGAGGAAGGGTAATTCTGGTCCTTTTTCGGGAAACGGGTTTTATCCGAGAAGGTTTCGGGCTTGTGTATGTTTTTAGAAGCATTGGGCTTCTCGTCACCCCTGAGTGAATGTAAAGTCTATTGGGAGCAGGGTTAGAATAGAGGAGTTGCAGCATTTTGAAAATGATAATTAATTATAGCTCTTATTGGAAAAGTGGAAAAAAGGGTTCCATGCACGCCATGCATGTGTTTTGAAGTTTGGCTGGGTACGCTGAGCGTAAGCTGGACGTACGCCGAGCATTGTAGAGGAAAAAGATGGGGTGGCCAGGTGAGTACGCCCAGCGTACTAGAGGTATGCCCAGCGTACTCTCAGAAACCCCAAACCCTAATTTAAGGGCCACCACTATATAAGGAACATGTTGGTTCACACCCTAGCCTCCATAAGCTCTCCCATAACCTCAGAAACCGTAGAAACCCGTATTCCCTCCATTGTTAGGTGTGTTTGGCCTTAGAAAGCTCATTTTTGGCAATAGAAAAGCTAGAAGAAGAAAAGAGAAGTTGTCAAAAAAGGAAAGGAACGATTGGAGCTCGTAGATCTGAAGAGATATCATCCTTTGGAGCTTATTTGAGGTATAAAGCTTCCTGCTTGCCATTTATTTTGCATAGATGTAAGTTTTGTGAAGTTTTAGCATCTTTCTTGTCCCAAAAGTCCTCATCTTGATTCATGCTTTGTGTTGGCCGAGATTATCTGTCCTTTTAGACCTTTGGAGAGGTCTTGAGTGAGAAAATGAGGTCCCAAGGGCTGTAGTTGTTCCATGTGTGAGATATATAAGTCTTAATGGATTAAGACCTTGGATTAAGAGCTATATGGACGTCCCAAGTAATAAAGTTTGAGACTTTATGAATTCTAATCATATTTGGCCTAGGGATCTGAAGTTTGGGCTTAATAGCTTAAGCCATTAAGAAGTTATACCGACTTAATGAGTAGCAAAGTTACGCCCCGTGTAACATGGTGGTACACCTCGCGTAGCGTGCCAGTGCCCCGATCCTTATCTGTGATTCAGCGTGTACGCCCCACGTACCAAGGAGGGTACGCCCAACGTACTCCCCCTGATTGGACTTTAATGTTGGGCCTTAGAGTTTGGGCCGTTTGTGGGTTGTTGGTTTATGGGCCATGTCTGGAAATTGTGGATAGAGTATTTTAGGCCCAATTATTGTTATGGACCTTGGTTCTAGGCCCATTTGTTAAGGTGGGCCCAATTTGCTAAATTGGGCCAATATTGGACTTTGTATAAGATTTGGACTTTGGCCTTGGCCTGATAAGTGAATGTATGATTGGCCTAATGTGTATTTGTGCTATGTTGGCTAGTTCGCGATTTGCGGTGAGTTGGTAATTTGAGAATCTGCTTCTTCAGTTCAGAGTATCGGAAATCGCGAGGTGAGTTATCCTCACTATATCAACAGGGTCTAAGGCACCAAGGCCGGCCCTTTATCGGATTGAGATCCGAGTATTTTTTGGTTATACTATTGCTTTGATATGTTTGCATCCTGATAGTTAGGATGGTATATGCTAGTGACCGGTTAGGTCGGTATCCTGGTTAGGATGATGATATGTTATGTGATCTATTTGATCGGCTTGTTGACTGTGAACTGTTATATGATTGTATGTTTATGTGCACATGGTTGTTTGGACTGGAGTTGGGTTGAGGTGGGTCCTGTTGTGTGCTGTAGGCCAAG